TTCCAGACTGGTCGAGAGGGGAAGCCCGAAAAATCAGAGCACCCAAAAGGTCTCTCCAAGTCCTTCATTTGGGGGATTTAGGGCTTGAAAAGCCACCCCTACGAGGACCCCAGATTTTCAAGCAACTCCCGGGTGAGACTCAAACAGTTGCTGGCCGCGACGGCTTCATATCCACAACGCCTTATTTGGATGAAGTGCGATGTATCTTGCCGCAAAAAAAACTGACTTTTAGTAAGCCACCTAGGGTTCAGGGTTTAGGGTCTAAGGTTATATCTCCGGAAAAAATTCAGGCCCCCCATTTAACGATACTCCTGTTTCTGGGTGGTTGAATCCAGTAAGACTCTGCTCTTTGCGTAAGGTCCAGTACCCAAAAGGGAGATATCACCTTACTGTATGATAAAGCCCTAAAGCATCAACCCTCAACAGCCCCTTCTGGGAGCCCAAGCACTGCAACTTGTACGGGGTTGACGTTTAGCGTTTAGCACATCATATGGGTTCCTTTACTTGCATCTCAATTTAAGAACCGGAAGAGCAGCCTTGATTTCATTTAGATACGGCCCTGAATTTTGAGGTTTAGGGTTTAGGGCTTAGGAGGGTTTAGGAGGGTTTAGGGTGGTGGTTGATGAGGAAGATTTTCACCTTCCCAGAACATCTGTTGGAGGAGCTATATTGGGATGATGGAAAAGAAAATGGAAACTACTATATCAATATAGTATATTGGGGTTATATTGGGATAATGGAAAAGAGAATGGAAAGTACTATATAGCATATCTAGGGAGACGCATATGCAAATGTCCTACTCACATTGCCTTAATGAAGGACTCTCAAAAGAGCATCTCACTTCAGCATTGCTGAGAGAAAAGTTTATGTCCTGCGCCCACGATGTTGATGTCCGTAAGGAACAGATCCTTGAATTGGGCTATGTTACTCAAGAAACTGTGCGTGTGTGTGCGCGTGTGTGCAAATTATGTGTTTTGGTGCTTTTTTTGACGGGGGGTGCTGTGGCATATGCGACGTAACCATATCCTGCTTGGACAGAGTTTGATCCTTTGATTGCCACGGTGGTCGCCGTGTGCGCAGCCTAGTCCGCAAAACTCGGCTATGCTAAAAAAAAACTAGCCCAACTACAGAAATCTGAAACACAGCGTCTCTCTCTATGAAGCCAAAGTAACTTAGAGCCCAAAACAGGACCCGCACATGGGAAACCCCTTCTTCCTATAAGCTTAACAGAGCTGCAGTAATAAGGAATCTACCATTCCACCTACAACCTTGGCATATGTACTGTTTTTGGCCAAGTCATATAACTCTCTGGCTGGAAGAATTACATGCAGCTGTAAAGGATTGGAGTACATGGGCAGGCCTTGTCCTCTTCCAATAGATATGCCCAGGTGTCTCCCTAGGCCCTAAAGGCCCTAAATGCAGAATATGGCAATCATATTGATTTAATCCCTACATTTCACAACCCCTGTAGGCCCGTACATATGCCCAATTTCCATGTCATCTTCCACTTTCTTTCCCATGTGATTCTCCATGACTTGGGTAATACCCCTAGACCCTAAACAATAGCTTCCATTTCCTTGTCCAAAAACCCTATAACCCCAACTATACAACCCCCATATACTCCTTTATGATAATTACAAGCCTAAGCCGCCAGGGGGCCACATCCTATGGAATTTGAGACGGCAGGTGAGATGATTCTTGGCAAGGCAGTGCGACAAATCTTCAATGTGCGCTGCCCTATCCTGATCACTCCCGAATTAAGGCTTTAGGGGTCCGAAAACCACGCAAATTGCATCCAGTGTCTGAAGGAGTATATAAATCGCATATTAGACATTGGGGTTTGGTAGGAATCACCGCATGGGACCAGACTAGATTGCCAACCCTAGGTCCACCCTTGAAGCTTAGTAGTGCGTCAATGACCCACGTGTTCGCAGTAGCCCATGCGACCATAACCAACGATGAGGTGCAAGTCTTCGTAGGGCGCAGGGTTTTAGGGTTTAGGCTGGCTGTGACAAACGACACTTAAGGCCCCCCGCGCTACTGGTGATTCTTCCCACTATACTGTTTCAGCACGGTCAATTACTGTTGGGTTGTAGGGGAAAAGGATCTTGAGCTTAACAGAAAGCATGCTTATCCTGCATTGCATTACTGTTCAAGAACAACTTCACATCACATGTTCCTGATGAAGAAAAGTGACATTTCCAGGCATGAGACTCCACTACAAGCCCTAAAGATCAACATTATCATAAGGACCCACAGAAAGGGACCCCTAATTGTTGGCAGCCCCACAATGGGCATCCCTGGAAATTCAGCTTCACTCCCCTGCAGCATTGCGCACACGCCCATAAAGTTCAAACACTGCACGCTACCACATTCCCATGTGACTGAAACGTCTGCACCACTAAACCCAGACCCTTCAAACTCCCTAAACCCGAAACCCAGATCTTTCAAACCCCCTAAACCCAAAACCAGAGCCTTCAACCGCCTAAACCCAACCTTGAAACTTAGACCCTTCAAATCCCATAAACTCTCAACTTTACGTCCCCCAAGCACTTCAACCGCTCCCAAAGCCTCACCAATCAGCCTCCTTGAAGGAGCTCAGATCTTTGCGTCGGATGGGCAAGCTAAGCATGTGGCTTCACATCCCTGGCGTGGCCGCGTTTAGGGTTTGGAGCCTTAGGGTGGGTGATAAGAGAGATAGAGAGGTTTAGTTTCCGATCCCCTTTAAGAAGGACCCTAGAATCCAGCCTTTGACTATGATAGGGTCCAAATTGTCAGGGTTGGGGTAACCAAAACCCCTTATTAGCGATAACAAGAGTTTGGAGGGCCCAACCCCTAGCCTTGAGACCCTGCAACAATGACAATGGCCCCAGACAACTTAACGACATTTCGACCCATGCTGAACGCTGGGGTGTTACGCTTATGCTCCTTACCGTCAGCGCCAGAAAATGGATTGGGGCATAGGCCCTCTTCATGGGTCTCAGGGTAGGAGGGAATCTTAAAGCTTTCTGGCCTCTACTACAAGCTTAAACAAGAAATAACCACTTGGGTGGTACGACTTTGGGGCCCACAAGATTATGTATGAATAGGTTCCATTCTGCGACAACACTCTACCAGTCCAGCCCGCGCGACTTGCAGACAAATTCCCAAGCTCCCTAAGCTCTCCAACGACGTGTCACCACTTTGAAACGCGAGCGAGAGAAACGTGCGCGGCTCGTTCTGGAACCACTGCCTTTTAGAATGCCCGCACAGTTTATGGCTAACGTGGCATCTACGAATTTTGGCGGCTTTAAGACAAACAGCAATTTTTTCCGGAGTCAGTATCTGGGGGTCAGAAATGGGTTCACGGCCGGTCATGCGCGAAAGCACCGCGCGCGTCCAACCGTCAGACATACGGACAACCAAACAGCATACCGAACTGCCACCCTGAAAGCCGATCAACCCTAAACTTACCCATAAATGGCGTAAATCCAAAACCCTGAAACGCGAGACCCTAAAGTAATGTTCAAAGGTAGATGTGAAGCTGGAATCCAAACAAAGCCGTACCAAGATCAAATGGCTCTTGAGGCACCTAAACTCTTCAACTAAGCTACTGTATGTGCGTATGTGGCGAATGCTTAAACCCGAGTTCCCAGACCCCAATCCCTACTAGGCGTCTGTTAGAATCTAGTTGCTGAATCTGAGTTCCTTAACAATAACGTTGAGTAAGACAAGCAAACATCCCCTTCAAACAAGAATTCTTGGCCCTACTTTGCAGGAACATCCAGATAAGCAAGCAATTGGTAGGCTCATATAAGGTTTTATGGGGTCATATGGGGTTCTATAGGTGCAGGTCTGTAATTTTCTATATACCACAAACACCTTCCGCAGCTGAAGAGATGGGCAGATTGGGGGGTGGCTAGCCTGTAGGACTTGATTCACTTTATTCAATAAAAAGCCAAGAAGGTTCCAGGCTTGAGCATGGTGCAGGGTCTACTCACTGGCTCTTCGTAGTGAACAAGGGACCATAATCTCTCTATAAATTACCATGTTATGTTTTCCCTTATTCCCTACTAAGGACCATTAAGTTTAGGGCTTAGGGTTCCTTGCTAGAAAATCGATGTCATGAACACCAGCTGTTGGCGGTCACCTGGATCTCAAGGGTAGGTAGAATAATGGCCCGAAACATCTGAAAGCATCTGAAAGGAGCCAGAACCGGCCACTATTGCGAAAATTAGTTCCCTAAGGGTCCAAGATTGGGTTCTTGGGATTTGGGTAGCAATGTTGGTAGTACAGGTTTGGCGAAGTGTGCTGATTGGGTACTTGGACTCAAAATGGGGTTCAGTTCAGGTAAACTGCATTTCAGAGTCGGCAGTCTGCCCACTCTGCACTTCGTCTGATTTAAGGTGATACCCCTAAACCCTAAACCCTAAACTCCTAAACCCTGAACCCTAAGGCCCTAAGCCCCTAAACCTTGAACCCTAAAGCCCTAACCCTAGAGTTGCAGAGGCTGCAGAGGGTTTGGCCTTCTCCAGGGAGCCCAACACCCCTTCATTCAGGAATGGAGAAGAGAATTGAAACTGATGTCTGAGGATCGACCTGGACCTCCCAAATGCCCTAATAGTAGCCTGGGATTTAAGGTTGTTTTTTAGGTGTATATTGGGGTAATATTGGGATAGTGGAATAACATGGAAACTACCCTGCTGGGTTTATATAGGGTTAAGGGTATAGGGTTTTGGGTGGTATTCCCATCATGCAAGGAGTCGAAAGCTTGCAGTTGAGCAACTTGCGAGGTCAAAGTAGACCCCAATCGGAACTAGGCCCTAAACCCTAAACCCTGTGAAAACCTCCCTGCCCTTCCTGTCAGGTGCGAACGTTCGAAGGACCTTTCGGCTGCAAGGGAAAGAGCCGCCATGATGATCCCCAGGCGGGGTCGTAGCGTGCTTTAATACTGGTAGCGCGGAGCAAGGCGCTCCAGCTTACCTAGGTAGGTAAGTAGGTACCAGGGGTTTTTCCTCGCCATGAGCGCCGAAGACAGGGGTTTGAAGCGCTTCAATGGCGAAGATGACGATGCAGGGAAGCAACTCCGCAAGTGGATGCTGTGGGCACAAGCCAAGATGGCAACCATGAAGGATCTGTCGAGCAAACAGCAGGGTCCTTGGATCTACACTCTTCTGGAAGGGAAGGCTCTGGAAGCAGTGGAACACTTGTCATTGGAAGACATGATGTCTGAAAATGGCGCGAAGACGATCTGGACTTTGCTGAAGACTCGGTTCCCGGAAAAGGAATCAGAAGATCAGATGGGCGAAGCCTTGGGAGAGGTCTTCGGACTGTGTGCAAAGGAAGGAGAATCGATGCAGCAGTGGGCGGCCCGGGTACAAGAAGTGTTCCAGAAGTGTCGCAGGAAAGCCGAAGTAGAATTTCCTGCTGTGGCACAAGGCTGGATTGCCTTGAACTGCGCCGGGCTCAGCGAGGAACAGAAGGCCATTGTGAAGGCCAAGTCTCAGGGCAAGTTGGACCTTCCAACTGTTACTGCTGCGCTGCGATCGTGTTTTCCGACTTTGCGGGCAGGGACGAAAGCTAAGAAGCCAGTGGCGACACTGCTCGTGGACGACGACGGCGTGGAGAACACGTTGGACGACGGCGAGACGGAGAACTTTGCCGACGTGGAGGCCTTCCTGGCGGACAACCAGTTCGAGGACTTCACCCAGAACGACGAGCTCGACGAACAAGAGGCGGCTGAAGCTCTTGCCGTCTCGTGGAAAGAGCGACGCCAGGAGATTAGCAAACTCCAACAGTCGCGCAAGTTTGGCGCGGTCTCTGCTGCCAAGAAAAGCTTCCGAGTAGAAATCGAGGAGCTTAAGCGCCGCACCCGTTGCCGCAGATGCGGCAAACTCGGCCATTGGGCCCGCGAGTGCCGGTCCTCAGCTTCCAAGCCCAAGAGTGAGCAACAGGCGTCTGGCGCTGGCAGCTTGTCTCAGCATCAGAACGATGCCAATCTGGTGCAGGAGGAGCTCATCAGCTTCCCGGATGATGAGATCACCTTTGTGGGAGCCGTCGAGACTGCTTCGACCGAAGTCTGCAGCGTGGGTCTCGTGTCTTCACCAGGATACGGGGTGGTGGACTCGGGCTGTGGTCGAACTTTGATCGGCCGAGAGACGCTGAACGAACTGAAGCAGATGCTGCAGGGCAAGACAAGGCTGGTCGCTGAAGAGTATGCCTCCAGCAACTCCTTCCGTTTCGGCAATGGTGCCACCGAGGAGAGCAGTGTGGCTGTGCGCATTCCGGTGGGAGTGGGCAAAAGGGTCGGGGCGATCGATGCCGCGGTGATCTCAGGGCGGGCTCCATTGTTGTTGGGGCGCCCGACACTTGAGAAGATGAATGTCGTCTTGGACTTTGGCGAGCGCAAGATGCGGTTCCTGAACCAAGGCACTCTGGTTCCCATGCATACCAACAGTGCAGGCCAGCTCCTCATCGATGTGATGGAGTTTCCGCCAAGAAGATCAGGGTTGAGTTCGGGACAGGAGCCATGCAGTAAAGGGTCTAGTGTTAAGGCATCGCCACTTAGGGTTTCGGAAACTGAAGTGTGTGAGGTTACGTGTAGGCAGGGTGAGGAACTAGTGGTCCAATCTGCACCCGTAGAGCCCGTAGAAACCCCTAGCTCCTGTGACCTTCCCGAGCCTGAGCATCCTATCCCTAAACCCGAATACCCGCCATCATCTCGCAACTCAACACGTAGAAAAGTTACCTTGAAGAAGCGAGAATGCAGGTGTCTGCTGTCGCAGTGGAACAACAGTAAGCACCAGCAGGATTGCCAGATTGCGGTTGCTGAGCTGTTCTCGCCTCCCCGACTGTCTGAGGAGGCTCGCAAGCATGGTGCATCGGGGGTAGCCTTTGATATTAAACAGGGTTGTGACCTTGTAGACCCCCAAGTTCAGAAAGAAGTAGATCAATTGCTTGACGAAGCAAGGCCTAAAGCTCTTACAGCCTCTCCGCCATGCACGTATTGGGGGGGCTGGGATCACCTCAACATGTGCTACAGGACCCCAGCTGAAAGAGCACGCCTGATCCGCACAGCACGAAAGCAAGTCAAGTTTTGCGTGGAGCAGATTCACAAACAACTCCATAGGGGAGGGGATTTTCTGTTAGAGCATCCTTTAGGGTCCTCTATCTGGAAAGACCCAGCGGTTAAAGAATTGAAGCGTAAGTATGGGTTTCATAAGGTGGATCTGTGTGCGTTCGGGTTACGGTCCCCCAAGTCTGGTAAGCACATGCGTAAAAGCACTGGTATCATTTGCTCCAAGCCTGAGTTTGCGGAACAGGTCCGCAAGTGCCCGGGTGATCATGAACATGAAGTTGTGTCAGGGAAGCAGAACTGTGACAGAGCATCGCAGTATCCTGTACAATTCGTCCGGGCCATGTGGAAGTGTCTGGTTCCACCTCCGAAGGAACCAGCAGCGAGCATGATAGATTGGGAAGCGTTGCAGTGTGAGTGTCTGGCTGGAGGCCGGATACCTCCCGCCAGGTCTTCTGATGACGCAGCAGAAGGGCAGGTTCCTGCTCCGCCTGAGGGCCAGGAACCAGAACTCCCAGATCCGCAGCAAGACCCAGAGACCCTAAAGATTGACCTAGCCCTGCGAAAGCTTCACAATAATTTAGGGCACCCCTCTAGCAAAGATTTAATGCGGATTTTAAAGCACAGCAATGCGTCACAGCAAGCTCTGGAGCGAGTGCAATACTTGCAATGCCAGGTGTGCAGCAACCAGCAACGTCCTGCAGCACCTCTGCCCGCAAACACTTCTCGTACATGCCAGTTCAATGAGAAACTAGGCCTTGACGTTAAATATTTGCCGGGCTGGAATCCAGGACAGAAAGTAGCGTGTGTGAATTTGGTTGACTACGCCTCAAGCTTTCAAATGATGATTCCGATAGGTAGACGAGAAACCGGGGCCCTTCTGAAACAAGCACTGTCAGAAAAGTGGGTTTCGTGGGCAGGACCGCCCCAGGTCCTGAGGTTGGATCCTGCTCAACCTAAGCTAGGTGAAATGCTAAGTGAGTTCTGCAGCAGTCATGGCATCTCTATTGAGCAAACCCCTGCCGATGCACACTGGCAGTTGGGGAAAGTAGAGCGCCACGGACAGTGGTTTCAACGCATTCTTAATAGGGTCCTAGATGAGTGTCGTCCATCCAATGAAGCAGAATGGCAAACGTGCGTAGTCCAAACTCAGTCCGCCAAGAATACCCTCATCTCCGAACAAGGAGCAAGCCCCTATCAATATGTTTTTGGACGTAATCCCCGAGTCCCCACTGACCTCCTTCAGGATTCTCCTGACGTAGCAGCATCAGAGGCCGTCATGGCCGATGACGGGTTGCAGCGAGCCAATGCTGTCAGACAGGCTGCCCGTAAATCCGTACTAGAGGTGCAGGACGATAGGGCCCTGAGAGCAGCGCGCACGCCCGCGTGTAGCTAGGCCGTTTTGCTCGGGGGACTGGGTGTTTTACTGGAGAACCCAAAAGTCGATTGAGGGTCATAGGATAGAGGGTGGTAGATGGTATGGTACTGCTATGGTGTTAGGACACATAGGGAAGAATGTAGTTGTGGCCCATAGACGTAGCATCATGCGCTGTGCCCCAGAGCAGCTTCGGCATGCAACCGTCGAAGAGCGAGAAGTGGCAGAGTTCCCCCACAACGAACTGCTAGGGATCAAGAATCTCCTAGAAAAAGGGCAGTTTCCGAAGAGTCACGCATCCACATCCTCCGTTGCCAGATGGGGATGAGCTCATGCCTGTGCCCGATCCTCCTCTGAATGCAGCACAGTGTCTTCAGCAAGCGCAGCAACGTGAAGTTCCTGCGGTGCCGCCTGCAGATGACTCAGCAAGAGTTTCTGAACCTAGGGTTGTGCCGTCAGGGTCTGGACCGTACCCAGCCGGCGAAGCTAGAGAACCCTCATCAGCAGCAAGTAATCCCCAATATGGCCCTGTGAGACGTGTCCCACGTAAGACCCCAGCTAATGAGATTCCCCTAGTCCTTCAACCCGAAGACTTTGCCGACATGATGCAAGAAATCGTACCTCAGTTAATCCAAGAGATGCCGTCTCAGTCGGAGGAGTCGTCAGCTGCCGGTCACCACAGTCCGCGTGAGCCTGCGCAGAAACGGCCAGCCAGCCGAGAACCTAGCGAAGAGCCAGGGTCTGCACAACGTCGGCCTCCACCTCCAGGGGAAGCGGCAGAAACCCTGCTGATCGACATTGATGAGTATGCCCCCCTAAGGAATAGTTATGTGGAAGTACTAATCGCCGGTTTCCTTCAAAAGCGCATGCAGAAAGAACTGCCAGCCACCAACAACATGCCAGAGGTGCAGCAACAGGTTGATGAGGCCAAAGTTCTTGAGTGGGACACCGTAGTAGGCAAGCAGGCTGTTAAAGTGTGGAGGGGCGCGAAGGCTCGAGACATTCGCAAAAAGATGGCACACAGGTTCGTTGGCACACGCTTTGTCGTCACTCGTAAATCGGATGAAGAGGGCACTCGCATTAAAGCTCGCCTTTGCTTGCAAGGCCATTCAGACCCAGATTTCCATCAAAAGATCACGTCCGGTCTGTGTCACTCTCCTACGCTCAGTCAGTTGGGGCGCTCAGTGTTGCTTCAACTCATGGTGTCGCATCACTGGACTCTTAATCTCGGCGATGTGAAAGGAGCGTTCATGGAGGCAGGCCCTCTGTCAGACAAGTTTCGCCCCCTGTACGCTCACCAACCGCAGGGCGGGATCCCTGGCCTGCATCCAGATGATGTCCTGGAAATTACTGGCAACCTTTATGGAGCCAATGACGCTCCATTTCAGTGGTACCAAACCTTCGATGCTGAAGCCCGCAAGGTGGGTTTTCAACGCAGCTCTTTCGATAGCCGCCTCTACTTCTTCCGTGACTCGTCTAATTCGCTGTCTGGCGCACTGGGCGCGCACGTTGACGACACCATGACAGGAGGCCGTGGCGCCGAATATGATGAGGCCATTGCTCACCTCAAATCTCGTTTTCCTTATAGAAAGTGGAGGGTTGGCAGTGGCGAGTTCTGTGGCGTTGTGTATGCGCAGAATCCACACTCGTTTGAGATCTCCTTTCAGCAGTCTGAGTATGCCAAGCACATTCGACCAATAAACATGTCCAAACAGCGGAAGACCCAAAAGGACTCCCCAGCTACAGACAAAGAAGTCGCAGCACTGAGAGCAGTGAACGGTGCGGCAGGCTGGCTGAGTGGCCAGTCCAGGCCGGACTTGGCTGCGCAGACTTCTTTTGCCCAGCAGGCGTTTCCGTCGCCAACCGTAGGGAGTCTTCTGATGGCCAATCAGTTAGTGCATAGAGCGCAGCAATATGCAGATGTGTCCATCACTGTTCGGGACATCCCTCCGGAAAAGCTTGCTGTAGCTTTCCACTCCGACGCCGGCTTCGCTAATGCAGGGGCGCACAAGACTCAGGCCGGATATCTTGTAGCCTTCGTGAATGCAGATATGGATACGGACCAGGAATCCCCTTACTCCCCCTTTGCATGGAAGAGCTACAGACTCCCTCGTGTAGTAGCCTCAACTTTAGCCGGCGAAACACAGGCCTTTGCAACAGCAAGCGGGGTCGCCGAGTGGGTTTCTCTGACGCTAGTGGAAGCCCGTGACGGATGCTTTGATCTGAGAACCCCCCGCGATCCGACATCCTACATCCCAATCATAGGCATCACAGATTGTAAGAGTCTTTACGATACTGTTCATGCTGTGTCTCCCCCAAGTAAGTTAGATGACAAACGTGCTGCTATTGATGTAGCAATAGTGAGACAGGGGATGGAGAGAACGGGTATGCGAGTCCGGTGGTGTCCCACACAATTAATGTTGGCGGACTCCCTTACCAAAGATCAGTCGGATCCTGCTGACCTTCTCAGAGCAGTCCTGATGGGCGGCCAATACCAGCTTTCTCCCGAGGCAACAGTTCTCGAGCAGAAGAAACAGCAGAGAGAAGCCCGTGCAAGGCGTCAAGCACACTACAAGCCTTGAGTACCTTAGCCAAGGGTCGCATGCTTTCTTAGGGGGACTAGGTGTAATAGTCAAGGAATTTAGGGTGTAGACTCGTACGTGGGGGTAGCACCGTGAGTCAGTGCCTCTGTGAACAACTCAGAGCGTTAATGCTTGTTGTGCCGCAATCCTAGGGTTCTTTCCGTAGGGTTTAGCACCCCGTGTTTTCCCGTAGTCCCTATCCCTTCCTGTGTGATCATGGCCACTCCGCCGCGCTCCACCGAGCAGACGCTCCAGGAGATGCTCCGCCAAGCCCGAGCTGAAGGTCGGTCCGACGAGCTTCTTCAGATCATCCAGTCGAGCTTTGCCACCTCAGATGTGCAGGGCATGTCGGATGCTCCGAAGCGGCAGCGATCTTCGATGACCACCTCTGGCTGGGAGGATGCAGTGATCATCCCCGATGCTGGTACCACCAGGAAGGGACCAACCTCTTCCGGAATGGCTCCCTCAACGGCCACCTCGAGTACCACTCAGGGAGTGATCCTCCCGAACGATGCCCCAAGGACGGCCCTTCCGCCTGGCATCCGTGATGTTGACCAGTGGGGAGCCACGATCTGTGAGTTGCCCAAAGTGAAGGCCAAGAACGCCTGCTACACTGACTTGGTCAACTTGGCTTTCTCCGACCCTGAGATCATGACGTACCTGACCAAATTCGTGCTCAAACACAATGGCCCGAGTCCCAAGGTTCGAGATCTTCGGCAGTATCTCGAGTACATCAACTTTCCGAACAACTTTGAGGGTAGAGCTCGTACTGGTACGTATGTCATGCCGCGTCAGTTCAAGCAGGGTGTGTAAAGGTCTCGCGTGGCCAAGCCAGAGACGTCACCTAGTATGGACTTGAGTATGAGGATCGGCCTGCTGAAATGCAGACTGGGATCCAACAAGTGTCTCTGGCACACTGAAGCCAGCTGGAGAGCTGACATCAGAGCCCATGATCAATTTTCTTCCAGGAAGGGCATTTCTTTGATTTTTAGAGAATAGGGAGTGTGAAAACCTCCCTGCCCTTCCTGTCAGGTGCGAACGTTCGAAGGACCTTTCGGCTGCAAGGGAAAGAGCCGCCATGATGATCCCCAGGCGGGGTCGTAGCGTGCTTTAATAACCCTAAACCCTCAATCGGAACTAGGATCCCTAGGCTGATTTCAGGAAGAGGCCTTTCCCCAAAAGGGAGACCCCCATCCCTCATTGTGGGAAGCCCCTATACAATCCCTGTTTCCATGTCATTTCCGATTTGCTTGTCCATTTAATGCCGCGTTTTTGGGGGAACATCCCTACAGTCTCCTATATAAGCCCTATTATAACCCATAAAAACATATAAGCCCCAAATCATCCCTTTATATTCCCCAACATAATAATTCCCTTCTAATCCCGATGTAAATGTGTTAGCGTTCCTGGGTCCTCGTCTTTCATAAGCGCCTACACGCCGCTATAGCTAGTAAGCATCTGGGCCTCCTTGAGAATGTGAACCCTACCAGAACTTTCACAATCCCCTCCTCGGGCGTATGAACCTCAACTTTGGGGGAGATTGTAGGGACAGCAGTCTAAATTTCAGAAACCTGTGCCCATAGCACGTGAATCTGCAACCCCAAGAGATGGATGCTCCATGTACACACTCACGAAGATTGCAAAAGGAGCGCAATGCACTCACCAAAGCCATGATGGAAAAAACTCTCTGCCATACAGCAATATGGGCATAGGGCTATAGCCCTGACTACAAAAACCCCAAACAACGACTATAGCCCTTACTATGCCCCCCTACTATCGGGATCCCAAATCAAACAACCATTTGGAAAGCCTACTATGAGCCTCTGCATCGCTGCTGTAGCAGCCTCCTCGCACCAAGTGGCACAGGGTTTCCAGCCAAAGTTTAGGGTTTAGGGTCAAACCTGTGGCTAGAGGAAACTCCAGCCTCTAAGCCTCTACAATAAAGGTGTTTCTAACGATTCAGGGTCCTGTTTGGTGTCCCGAGAGTATCCAAATATTAAGCATTGGGGGTTACATCAAGGAGATCCCCTGTTTAGGACAGACAGACGTACCTGCATGAACAATTCGGGTTGTTGGGACATGTGGGGGCTCGAATCCGTCTCTTCCCCATGGGGTATGAAGGTTCATGGGCAGCTGCACCTGGCTTACTCTGGCCATGGTTTAAAAATGATAGCTTCAGAGCCTCAGAACATGCAATTTTCATTTCCTGTTTAAGGAATGACTTGGATTGGCGTAGCCACAATTCGCCCAGTTTACCTTGTAGCTATCATCTACCTGAAGGGCGTGAGACCTCCATAGAAACCCAGGCAGCCCAATACCCCTTCGTTCAGTAGGATACCTCAAGTCACACTCACCATCCTAGTATCATTCAGGGTCTATTCCCTAAGTAGAGTGCTGGGAAAGCTGCCCAGAAGCCTGCAGCAGACCCTTAAACTAAACCCCAAACATCAAACATCCACTCCTTTCCCCAGGTATAGGGTTTAGGGCTTGGGGCCTAGGGTTTAGGCCGAGGCGCTTTCTTTCAAATCTGTCTAGACGGGGAGAAGATTGACTGCAGTAGAGTACCTTCTCGTGCCCCCCAACAGACTATCTAATCTACGCCACCCCTGTAAATTTCTGGGCAGTTCTGCAAATACAAATATACAAACTTCATTTAACTTCCTCTACAGTAGCCCAGCAGAGATCAAGAAAGAGCACCTGGTGCCTAGTGCTCCACGCAGCCGATTCTGAATACTATGATTATTACTTACTATAATTATTACTATTGTGGTTACGGATTACTCGTAAACCTCACCCGCCTAGCAACAAATGTCAATATTGTTTGGGACTATACATTATCAGGAGGAGTGGTATGTTCTTTGACGTTTGGGTTTCAAGTGTCAAAGTGAGGAAAATGACGGAGGAGAGGAGCAGGCAGGGAGAGGGACGGAGGGACGGCTTTGGAGAGAGAAAGAGATCGGGAGAGAGAGGAGGGGGAGAGAGCGAGCTTAAATGATTAAGTAATTGCACTTGAGTACTGTCACCGTCAAGAAAATGGATCCGACCATTTGGCACCAGCATATCTTCCCCTGTACTCTTGCATACTCTACCTATCTCAGAACAACGCAATAGATGTATACCTGACGGCAAGGCCACCTGACGGAAGGGCCAGACGCTAGGAATCCCATCCACGTTATCGCAAGAAAAGTGACAACCGTACTACATGGACCTCCCAAAAATAATCCCATGGTTTCAGAAGCAGCCAATAATCCCTGTGGGTTCTATAGGCGATCTGTGTGGTAGTTTTCTCAAATAAGGGGACCTCAATATAGACCCCCAAATACCATACTGCTTATAATAAGGTCCCCCAAAAAGTTACCCCTAATTATTGGAAACCCCCGTATCAAGGCCGAGAAGTGACCCGGTGGGACTGTTGTTCATTGCTGTTCGCGCCCCATGCGCGATCTCTTTGTAGACGCTCTGCTGTACAGAAGATGGCTGACACTGTACCAGCCACAGGGCAAAATGAGGTTTCCAGCTCATACATGCAGTCCCTGTTTAGCAGCTGACATTCTCTGAAGATCTCTTCATAGAGCGGCATTAAACATTGTGTAATGCAAGGTATAAGGCAAAGGCCACATTCCCCAATTTGGGGGTCGAGCTGTTTGAGTGCTTCTTTTGAAGGCGTAGCATATGAAACTAAAGACCAATGAGCAGCGACGCCTCGTAGGTCTACGACAACAGGATAGAGGGAAATATTAAAAACACAGTATAATCCCTAGAACCCTTATACTGTAGTAGCTTCCGATTTCTTTTCCATTATCCCAACATATCCACTGTCCCTATGTAAGCTCTTACCAGGACTATAAACTCCACATGTCTGCACAATGTCGTGCCAACCACAAAAACAAAGGAGCTTCACCCCGAATGGGGTCTGATAGGTTGCTGTAGGGGCCTAAATGATTAGTAAAAGGCTCCGGGATGAAGTACCTTATGGTTTGGGTTTAGGGTTTAGGGGTTTAGGGTTTAGGGCTTAGGGTTTAGGGTTAGGGTTAAGGATCTATGTCTAGAGTCCCCCTTAAGTAGATAGAATATGGCTTTGGGGATGTTATAATGAGATCCCCATATACCCCATATTCTATCTACTTAAGGGGGACTATAGATATAACTAGCGGAGAATAATGCTCAAAACACTGAAGTTGTTCAAGCTTCTACTTTGAACTTCCCGATGAGAATAAATTCTGCAGGTGCCCACGAAGGGATCCTACCTTTTGCAGACTCGAAAGGGAGCCCCATGCCCCGTCAGTTAGGGGCATACGTATCCTAAAGCATTTAAGGGCTTCTAACAGCTTCTAACATCATCTAGGGTATATTCCTCAATCAAGGTTTATTGGCCTCTGTGGGTTCCAAGTCAAAGGCTCCTAGAAGCTCATAGAAAGCGTTTAGGGCCATCAGCAAACCCTGAATTCTGCTGTTACGAGCTAATGGAGAAAGCAGTCTTCGAAGGGTGAACCTGCTTTGGATGCAGGAAACTGTTGCACCACCCTATATCATTTCGACCGTGCGAAGTACAGCACAGGGAGGGGATTCAATTGGCGCACCAAGCCCCAAACCCTAAATCCTAAACCCTGAGCCCCAAACCCTACACCCTAAACCCTAACCTCGATGTACCGTGGGGCTGCCATACTGACTTCTATCCTCCTGTACATAAGCGAAAAGGATCCTCATCCAGTTGGTTTTGGGCTTAGGGTTTAGGGTTTGAGGTTTAGGGGTGCAATATTCATTTGAATTTGGGAATATTTCTATTGTACGACGCGCCCCAAGCAAGACACTGTACACAAACCCGACCCCCACACGCAACAGAAACCTCAACAAGTATATATTGATAGGTATATGTACATATATAAATATATATACATGTATCTATATTTATACTTGCTTTCATACTTATGTTCATATACACAAATTCTGGCGGGACCGTATGCTGCAGAGGGCTTCACAGCACCTCAGGCGAGGAAACCCCAAAGCCGCACCGTGCTGGAGAGTATTCAATGCTATTGAGAGAGGAATCCTTCAACCCTAAACCCTATAGGGTTTAGGGTTTAGGGGTAAAATCCCTAAACCCTAAGCCCTAGCTCCTAAAGCCTGAACCCTAAACCGCGCGACTTAGGATCCGTAAAGCACCGTAGTTCCAAGGACTTGGGACCCCAAAGGTGCTGCAGGATTTCAACCGTAGGCAGGGAATGCACTATGACTATGACCGTAGCTTCCTCTTCATTGTAATTATTACGACAATTATTTCTATCATTAGTACTACTATTATTACTATTATTGCTACATTAGTGCTACAAACCTACTCAAGGGGAACTGCGCTTCACATTTTGGGGTGTAAGAAGCCAGGTCAGGCTCCACTTCCACAAGGTGGGCTGGGCCTCTTATGGAAGTCACGTCCATCGGTCCACAAACTTACTGGTGGTTAGTAGGGAATAAGAGAGTATATATATGTATATATGTGCATATACATTTTTACGTTATATAGGGATTATATAGGGATAATGGACAAGAAAATGGAAACTACCACACTAGAGTAGAGTATATGTCGCGGTTATAGTAGGGAAGAAGGGAATCTATCATGTAGGGAACATCATATAGGGACTATATTGCAGTATTCACTACAAACCACCTTTGAGAAAAGCATACCTGGATCCACATGAGCTGTGGTCTAAACTCCTAGTATCTCCCTTAATAACCCCGTAGTACTCCCCTATATAATCCCCTATATGGCCCCCTTTAAGGAGTTTAGGCTACAGTTCATATGACAAAGAGCTTCAAGA